GGGGGGAAGAGAAAGAAAAGCGGCGGAACACGTGGGCAGCGGACAGCCCAGACGCATCTGGGCTGTCAGCTGGCCGCATGCTCTGCGGCTTTGCTCTGCTCCCCGTCCCCCTGGTCTGCAGACCAGGGGGACGGGGAGCAAAGCAGAGCAAAGCCACGGAGCCTGAGGGCAGCAGGATAGCCACGGGCAGCAGGATAGCGCAGGATAGCGCGTCACTATCCATACTCAACAACTTCATTATAAGAATTTATCACAAGATTTTTGCTTCACAAAACAGAAATTAAAGACTATGTTTGTAATTGATGGAATTTATTTGGAAGACAAATTCTTAGAAGTTGTTGCCGTACTGTTGAAAATTATTCTGTACACCTTAGACTTAATCTATTAAATACACAAGACTTCCTAACCGTATTTGTAATATTTTAGTGACTTGCAGTTGATTCACTCTTAATGGTTAATTTCTAAATATTAGAATTCTGAAACAATATATTCCAGTTTTGCAGTGGCCTTTGAAATCCAAACTCACTTTTGAATATAGTAGGATTTGTATCTAAAATGGACCAAACTGGAACCCAAATTTCTAAGTCCTGATGCTGTGAATACTGAAGTTTGTACAGAACTTGTCTCCTCTAAGAAGTTCCATTGACTTCAGCAGAACTACTCACAAAAGTAATGTTATGCATACACTTAAATATTTGCAGGATTGAGGGATTTAGGTCATACAAAAATGCAGCGTGATTTACAAGAGCTATATTGTCTTCAACATGAAACTTAAAACATCCTTAAATTTGGAAGAATTTTAATATAATTGGAGTATACATACATAACCCCTACATTTTTATTTCAAAGTACTTTGTCAGAAGAAAACTTTAAACATAGTTTTCTTTTAACAAATATATGCTTGTTAAAGTTAAAAAATTCAGTATTTTATATTATAAAATTTCTGTCTCTCTGAAGTACACCAGAATATGGTTTGGTGTTTCTATTAGAAATGAAGGATTTTGTTCCGCATTCCATGATATTTGCTTCAGGAAGTCATGTCAAGAAAATGTGTTCATGTAAATATAGTGACATCTAGCGGCCATTACTGATGTCACAGCCAGATGGACCAATAAAGCAAGCCAAAAATTGTGGTTTTGACAGTAGATTTGAACTTGTATTCACTAAAATACAGCAACAGTAGAACCATGAAATCTGTCAGGTGCTACATGTTATTACCACTGGACCACACGCTGCATTGCTGCATTGCTGCATGTAACATCACCTCTCTGTTTCAAATGCTGCAGCACCAAGTTCATGGATACGTGCATAGATAGGTGAAGCCACATCTGGAGTATTGTGTCCAATTTTGGGCCCCCAACCTCAGAAAGGATGTGGACAAATTGGAGAGGGTCCAGCAGAGAGCAATAAAAATGATTAGGGGGCTCGAGCACATGACCTAGGAGGAGAGGCTGAGGGATTTGGGCTTGTTTAGTCTACAGAAGAGAAGAGTGAGGGGGGATTTCATAGCAGCCTTCAACTACCTGAAGGGAAATTCCAAAGAGGATGAAGAGAGGCTCTTCAAAGCAGTGATGGATGGCAGAACAAGGAGCAATGGTCTCAAGCTAAGTTGGAGATCTAAGTTGGATATTAGGAAAAACTATTTTACTAGGAGGAGAATGAGTTCTCTAGGGAGGTGGTAGAATCTCCATTCCTAGAGGTTTTTAAGTCCCAGCATGACAAAGCCCTAGCTGGGATGATTTAGTTGGGGTTGGTCCTGCTTTGGGCAGGGAGCTGGACTCAATGACCTCCTGAGGTCCCTTCCAATTGAGAACAATTTTATAATGTATTGACTTTTTTTCATTGTATTCCTTTGGTATATATAGTCATGCCAATTCTCTTCCAGAATTTGATCTGAGGAAGTGGGTCTGGCCGACGAAAGCTCATCACCTAATAAACTATCTTGTTAGTCTTTAAAATGCTGCATAGTCCTTTATTTTGTTCGAGGTTACTTAGACTCTTATAGTAAGCCATTGAAGCAGGAATAATCTGTTTCTTAAATGCGTATAAAGTGTCTAGCATACGATTTGTAAGTGCTGCAGCAATATAAATAATGAATTATATAATACTCTTTAACTATAGTGTTTGGCTTAGCAACCTTTAAAAAAACCATTCAAGTTAGGAAATGCCAAAAATAAGGTTGGTGAGCTAATATCTCTTATTGGATCAACTTCTGTTGGTGGAAGAGACAAACTTTCAACATTCCCAGAGCTGTTTTTCATGTCTGCAAAAGGTAGCCAGAGTGTCTCAGGTAAGTACATGGTGCGGCGGCATGTTAAACATAAAGGCTTTGTCTAGACTGCATCCCTTTTCCGTAAAAGGGATGCAAATTAGACACATCGCAATTGTAAATGAAGCGGGGATTTAAATCCCCCCCACTTCATTTGCATAAACATGGCTGCCGCTTTTTTCTGGCTCGGAGTTTTGCCGGAAAAAAGCGCCAGTATAGACGGGGATCTTTCGTAAAATAAAGCCTTTTCCGAAAGATCCCTTATTCCTCTTAAAATAAGGAATAAGGGATCTTTCGGAAAAGGCTTTATTTTCTGAAAGATCCCTGTCTAGACTGGCGCTTTTCTCCGGCAAAGCCCCGAGCCGGAAAAAAGCGGCAGCCATGTTTATGCAAATGAAGCGGAGGGGATTTAAATCCCCGCTTCATTTGCAATTGCGATGTGTCTAATTTGCATCCCTTTTACGGAAAAGGGATGCAGTCTAGACACAGCCAAAGGGTTAAAGACATTGGAAGAAAGTACTTAAAATGAAGTGAACAATTAACCCCTCCATAAAGATAGGGCCAAACAAGAGTTAGTGTGTTATAATTATTGTAATAAGCCATAAAACCACAATATCTTTGTTGAGACTATGATTTTTTTAGTGATCAGCAGTTATGAATTTAAGTTCCCACATTATGTTTTGAAGGAGTTGTATAGGTTTCCTTTGAGGATGAGGACTAATACGCCAGAGATGAGGTGATCACTTTGTGAAATGTATTTGCTCATTGGTGATATGTTATTTTTATCTTTCATAATTTTTCTATGACAGTTCACTTGAGAATGGGGATTGTCTACCTTCACCCACATGTCTGTTGCAACATTTGATGCACTGGATGAAGACCACCACGCATTATGATAGGCACATGTGGACGCCATAGACATTGAAAGGTGTGTTGAGAGTTCATTTAGTCATTGTAGTTGTGGAAATACATCTTCAGGTTAAAGATTTATTGTACTGTCAGGGTATGGTGCTACTTTGAATGTGTCCTGGTCTGTGGGGAGCTTCATTCTGACTATGAGGCCATATTGCATTTACAGTAGAACCTCAGAGTAACAAACTACAGAATTACAAATTGACAAGACAACCACATACCTCCTTTGGGTCTAGAAGCACACATCAAGGAGTAGCAGAAACAAAGAAGGCAAATACAGTACAGCATTGTATTAAACATAACCTAATATTTTAAAGGAAATTAGCATTTTTCTTCTGTTTAGAAAAGCTTCAACGCTGTATTATGTCTGTTTTCACTTGAAAACTTTTGAAATAACCATAGTAATGTTTTATTTAAAATTACAAACATTTCCGAGTTACAAACAACTGCCAGTCCTGAGTTTTTTGTAACTTTGAGGTTCATCTGTATGTCTACACAGATTACAAATAACTAATAAAAATGTTACCAAATGTTCCCTTATTTATATAGTTTGATGAGACTAGACTTATAAACAATAATAATATGCAGTAAAACTTTGCATGTAGATTAAATGCACTTCAGTTTTACATAAAGGATAATATAAATGAACCATTAGGAAATATTTATATTGTTTTAGAACTTAACCTATACCAATTATTTTCCAAAATACAAAGGAAATACAAATACATAGTCCTTGTCCTGAAGGGCATAAAATTGTAAAAGACAAAACGATGGGTTTATATTGCAACATTTAGATATCAAGACTCTAAATTTGTATATATATATAGGGTATGTCTAGACTACATCGCTCCGTCGACAGAGCCATGTAGATGAGTTTACTAGACATAGGAAAATGAAGTGGCGATTTAAATAATCGCCACTTCATTTACATCAAAATGGCCGCCGTGATGTGCCGTGATGTGCCTATCAGCTGTTTGGCGGCACAGCGCGGTAGTCTGGACGCTCCATGGTCGACAACAGAAGCCTTTGTTGATCGCTCTGTTATGCCTCGTGGAATGAGGTTTACCGGCGCAGTCGACAAAGGCTTCCATTGTTGGCCGTGGAGCATCCAGACTACCGCACTGTGCCACCAAACAGCTGATCAGAACAGCGCGGTGGCCATTTTGATGTAAATAAAGCGGCAATTATTTAAATAAGGAAACAAATGATGTTTCATGACTGTGTTGTAGCTTATAATAAAAGATTAGTGTGTTCAGGTGTCTGGTTTTGAACCAGACAGTCCAGTATTTTAGCTTTCTGTTCGGGAAACAAATTGAGAAAATATAAATGTCCGGTATTTCCTAAATAAGATGCAATGTAGATTGTGATGTAATGTCAAGTATGTCCGGTGTTTTTGTTGAAACCATCTGGCAACCCTATAAAGGATCAGATCCCCAAGGAAAATAATTGAGGTCACTCAGTATCTTGTAGGATTTATCCTTAACTGCTAGTGGCAGTCCCTAGGATCTTATTCCAGTGGTGACACTCCAGATTTATTTATCTGTTTCTTCTAAATCTGAGAATTCAAAGTGCGTAGTTGATTTCAGTATTTTTTCAACTTGTGTCAGTCGTTTTTTCAGTTTCTGCTGTGAGGCATCATATTCAGCCAAAAGCCTAGCAAACTTTGTTTGCAAGTTGTCCACCGATCCTTCCATTTGAATGACCTTTTCATTGATGTCTTTAGAATCACTTCTTGCATTTGCAACATTGATATCCAGTAACCCATCCTTCAGCAAGATTTGTTTACCTTTCTCTTCCAACATTGCCTTTGCATCTGGATACTCTGTTAAAGCCTCCATGAGGTCATCTTTAGATAGACAAAACAAATCTGAGTATCCAATGCTTCTGATGTTGGCTGTTCTTCGATTGCCAGCTTTGCTGCCTTTGATATTAAGTATGCTAATTTCCCCAAAGTAGCTGCCATCACCCAGGATCACAAATTGTGTAATTCCATCATCAGCTACTACAGCAAGTTTGCCTTCTTTGATTATGTACATCTCTCTTCCAATATCCCCCTTTCGGCAAATGTAATCTCCAGGACTGTAAACTTGAGGCTGCAGCTTCAAGACTAGTTCAACTAACAGGCCAGCTTCACAATCTGAAAAAATCCGAACTTTCTTTAATGTGTCCAGATGAACACTGATTGCAATTTCTGCTCTTAATTTATCTGGTAGGTATTTTAAAACTTCCCTTTCATCCACAGCCTTTTTATTTGTCCACAAATAGTCAAACCACTTGATAACTCTTTTTTCTATTTCTTTACTCACATTTCGAAAGTGCATATACTGCTTGATAGCATCAATCCTTCCTTGAAACTCTGCTCTGGCAGCATTCATATTGGAGATCATGGAACCAATATTACCAACAATAGTAGCAAAGATCAAAACCCCAACCAAGAAGTCAACAACCACAAAGAAGTACTCAGAATCCTTTACCGGAGGAGGTGTTTCCCCAATAGTGGTTAAGGTCAACGTTGACCAGTAGAGGCTAAATACATATTTTCTAGCCAGACGGCCAAATTCAGGATCAGAGATGTTTGGGTAGACCCATGTGTCTGTCCCAAATCCAATGGCTTTGGAGATTGAATAGTACATACATGCATTCCAGTGAATAATAATCACAATGTACATAACAAGAGTAGAGATCCTGAAGATATTTGGATAGTTTGTCCTTGTTTCTGTACGCTGAAAAAACTCAAACATCCGAGATACTTTAAGTATTCTGTTTATTCTTAGTTCTGGATAGTTTAGCCCTAATTTAAAGTAAAGTAGATCAGTTGGTATGACTGACAGTAGATCTAGTTTAAATTGTAAAGTTCCTGTATATTTTTGTTTAAGTTTAAGTTCTTCTTTCACCAACAAACCTTGTTCCAGGTAACCTAAAATAAAATATAAAATCTTTCAAATTATTTTACTTTATTATTTGACTTGGACTTTTCTATTCCTTTATCATCTGCTGAATCCTGTAATATGTGAATGTCAACTTAATCTTTAAAATTATTTTGGTTGTAGAGTTTCTGACAGTACATAATTTTCCATCTTTTTTATCATGATTCATAGTTTAAACAGCTATATATGTTAACTGGAATTTGATTTTTGCAGATAATCAATTGATTTTTTTTTTTTTTTTGCAGATATGCAGTTGCAGCCATATTTTGGCCCTGGATGACTTGATTAAGCAGAGACATCAGTACTGTCTGGCCTGGCTAGGCTCTGTGGAGTCTTATAGAAATCTTGAAGGGAGAAACCATCTCCCATCGTAGAAGTACTGCACTTACAGCCTCCCATGTCCACCCCTGTCTTCTATGGTTTCTGCTGGCTTAGCACATAGGCCAAGGATGAGCAATAATTTTGATGGGGGCCCACTTCAAGATTTTGGTAAGTGGTTAAGGGCCACATTTTTCTATGAAGGGGGTCCAGGATCTGGGATGGAGCCTGGGTGCAGAAGAGAGCTGGGGTCCTGGAGAGCGAGTGGGGTCTGAGAGGGAGTTTGGGAGAAGGAGGGGTTGTGATCTGGGGCAGAGGCTTGGGGTGCTGGGTCTGGGAGGGGGTATGGGTACAGGAGAGCATTCTGGCCTGGGGGGAGGGCTGCAGGGTCTGGGAGGGAGTTACGATCTTGGGTAGGAAAGGTGGGGATTGCAGAGGGTTTAGATAGTGACCTGGGGCAGGGAGTTGAGGGGCAGGAGGGGCTGGGGTCCCGGGGCAGACTATAGTTAGGAGTTGCTTACCTAGGTGGCTCCCAGCTAGCAGCCCTGCAGGACTCTGAGGTAGGCTCCCTGCCTGCTACAGCCCCAGGTTGCTCAAAATGGCTGCTCATCACTCTTGAGAGCCATGCTACTGATTTAGGTATATAAATGTGAAGTTAGGAACCTAATTTTAGTAACAAATCTTTGAAAATATTGATCCTAACTCTTAGAGAGAGCAAGTGAATTCTATGCTTTGTCCTGTTCTAGATAGTTCTCAAATTCAGCCAGCAAAGACTGCATTTGGCTTACATGGTGGCAAGAGGTTTATAGATTCCTTATTAATGAATAAGTGTGGCATGTCCTGATTTGCAGCTCATAGGCTAAAATAAAGTGGGTATAATTTTATGTTTCCTCTACTAATATGATCATTTGCACACCAGAGATTCCCTACAAACAAGGGCAAAGGATGCCTTCTTTCTTAGGGGTTTCTTCTCTTCTTTTAGAAAATATTTACTATTACATTATAAAGTTATTTAAAAATCTTTAACAAAGACAAAAAACTAAAATTTCTAGCTTTAGTTTGATTAAGTAGTACAGTTTGGCTGCGTCTAGACTGGCAAGTTTTTCCGCAAAACTTTTCCTGCTTTTGCGGAAAAACTTTCTAGCTGTCTACACTGGCCGCTTGAATTTGCACAAGAACACTGACGATCTAATGTAAGATTGTCAGTGCTCTTGCGCAAATACTATGCTGCTCCTGTTCCGGAAAAAGCCCTCTTGCGCAAAGTGTTTGCGCAAAAAAGCCCCGATGGCAAAAATGGCGATCGGGGCTTTCTTGCGCAAAACTGCGACTAGATTGGCACGGACACTTTTCTGCAAAAAGTGCTTTTGCGCAAAAGTGTCTGTGCCAATCTAGATGCTCTTTTCCGCAAATGCTTTTAACGGAAAAACTTTTCCGTTAAAACCATTTGCGGAAAATCATGCCAGTCTAGACGCAGCCTTTGAGTATAGTTTCCTTTGACTGGGCTTTTTAGGAGTATTATCAGTGGATGATACAAATTAGCACATCCCTGCCACAAGTATAATGCTGTTTTCTATATAGTAATTTTACATTTCCTAACAAACCCATTTTGTGCCTACTCAGAAGGACACTGCTCTCTTTTGTTCAGACAAATTCTCATTGAATTTCAATGGCAGTTATGCCTAAAAAGGGAAGGTTGAATTTGTCCCTGCTTTATGGAACATTTAAATTAGGACATTAAACTAGATTATAGATAAACTCATGTCTGTTATATAAAGCATGATGAAGTGTACTGCCAAATATAAGCAAATGTGAGCATTTGTGAAATATTTGAAGTGTGACTCCAAAACTGTAGAAATGATGTTTCCAGTGGAAGAACTTCAGTTTTAGACTCCTTTCTGCTAAAAATCAGGATGACCTTGTATCTCAAGAGATATTTCAGTGTTAAGTCCTTCCCTCAGTAAAGGAGGCCAGAACGCTACCAGAAAGATACTTTACATCATCATTTCATAGAAATAAAGTGTAGCTGGACAGTCAATCCTAGAGAGAGACAATTCTTTATTTCTTTTGGCCCCTAAGTCATATTCTGATGGGCATTTTAAAGTGCCTACCGAAGATAAAAGGAAGATAATTAAACAGCTGGTACATTTACCTGTTCTTATCCGTACAAACATGTCAGCAATATAGATTATATCTGATATGTAATCAAAGAAGAACCACATTCCTAAATATTCATTCTGAAGTTCATCAAAACAGGCTCTGGGTAGGAAAAAAATACACAATTGAAATAGTCCCATTAGACCAGTAATTACAGTAAAATTGCCATATATTCAGAGGCCCTACAGATTTTTGTACATGATCTCTAAAAGATCTCGGTCATGCTTGTTAAAAAACAAAAGTATTTACAAAGTATATTTTAAAGCTTTGTGGAAAAATTTGGTTTTGGATCTGATTTCAGAACAACAAAAAGGACTGAGGGGGGTGTAGATTGCAAAGTTATTGTAAGAAGGGTTGCAGTACTGCTATCCTTACTTCTGCAATGACTTCAGAGCTGGGTAGCTAGAGATCAGCCACTGCTGCCTGGGAATCCAGCTCTGAAGACAAAGCCTCTGCCAGAAGCAGTGCAGAAGTAAGGATGGCATAGCATACCTGCAGAAATGGGCCCTCAGTTAGCTTCTGCCACTCTTTGTCCACTCAGCTCTGAAGGCAGCAGCACAGAAGTGTGGGTGGCATAGTATAGTATTGCCACCTTTACTTTGGCACTACTGCTGGCATGGCACTGCCTTTGAGCTAAGCTTCTTGCCAGCAGCTGCCAGTTTCAAGCCTATGAACTCTGAAGATAGCACAGGAGTAAGGGTGGCAAAACTGCAACTCTACGTAACAGGGCACATCAGCCCCATATTGGTACTGAGGGGATTAATCCCACTGTTTGGTCTGAGAAGACCATGCCCCCAAGACTGGGCATTCTCTAACTGGGGAACACATATAAAAGGCAGTAACCCAGCTTAGAGTGGATGGTCAGTGCAGCAGGGCCTGTGACA